CCATCCATCCATCCATCCATCCATCCATCCATCCATCCATCCATCCATCCAGATGTTTTTAACATCTTTTACCTCATCTTAATATGCATAAGTCTGTACCTAAAAGTTTTACAGTGAGCTGTTCATTGGCCCGAAAACAATGAAAGGATTATAAAACTCTCAGGTAATTATTCGGTCATGGAGCTCAGAGTTTGGCAAGAGATGTGTTACCTACTTACTTCCCAGCAAGAGTCCAGAATTTGCCGTAACCTAAAAAAATGTGAAGTTATGAAAGGGAAGGCTGACCAAAGACAAAACATCTGGATGGAAACCTTAAGGCTATGTCTTGGAAATAGAAAATGCGCAGCAAGACACATGAAAAAAGGATGGACCAAAATATAATGGATGGAGAGGAAGCTGGAGGTTTATTTTGTGTGTGCTCATACACCACACACACACACACACACACATACACACACATATATGAAGACCTCTATTATTGATCAAGATGGGATACACCACTGCATATTTCATCCTCCCAACCTGCCGGCTCATTTGTGATGATGACTGCATCAGTTTTAAGTATGAAAGAATAAAGTTGGTGTCATTCTTTCTTTTTCTTAATGTCAACTAGCCCCATGAAAAGAGTCGGTAAAATGATGTGACCAACAATCATAAATCGCGTGGTTGTCTCTTTGCCATGTTGCTCCATTGCTGTCAAAATTATTAAAAACAGAGAATGAGTCACGCTGTTGCTGTGGGTGACACGTTTCATGATTGTAACAAACATGGACAATCAATCCCTTCTGCACGGTGCCGTTGCCAGAAATGCTTACTGAGCGTTAATTAATCTGGGGCTAAACGCCTTTGTATCCCATCACTACTCAAACGGCAGTATATGCCTACTTTATGACTCACACACGAAGAGAGGTCCCTGGAGGAGTTTAGATGATTATGAATTAGATGGTTCAAAAAGAAATGATGGATCTGCAACACTTGGAGGAAGCGTGTTAAAAATGAATAAATAGATAAAACAAATCAAATAATCCATCACTGAGATTTATGTTTTCTTTTATTGCAGTTGAAAGAATCTTTTGCCAGTCAGAGAGTTGTCATCGACAATTTTTTGTTCTTTTTCCCAATTTTCACCACAGATTTCCAGGCTGATTCAGATCCAGACTCTCTGATCTGTGGAGAGATGATGACTGTCTCCAGATCTCCTTCTGATTGACAGACAGAGAAAATTATCTAAACTTTCAGTTTTTGCCAGGTAAAAACCCCCAAATCAAAACTGATTTTGAGCCATTTTCTTCAGTTGTTTTTAGCCTCTCCTCTAAGAGCCCATTCTAGTGAATAAATAGCTTTTCAATGTAGAAAGAGCTGCAGTATTTGATATTAAATGCTTGTCTTTTCTACAGCATACATTTTTTAAGACGAAAAAGAATAATATTGAAAAAAAAAAGTATCATCAGGTTCAATGAACAGCCAAACTTCTAATAAAGCCATTCCCACTAGACTTGTTTTGGTTCAGCATGCTTCCACATGGGGGAGACAAGCTCCTCCCAACTCCTACCACATTTATTTCAGATGGCAAGAAAAAAAAGATGTAGAACTGCATGAATATTTTCCTCTATGAGAGGTAGAAATCCAGAGACCTGTTGAGAAAGGCAGAGAAGAGCAGAACACTGATCTATCTTTGATTCTACAAGCTGCAGGACATTTTTTTTTTAAAGTCTGGAGCTAGAGTGGAGCAAAGAGGAGATACCCTGCCCTGCAGCTCTTTAACAGCTTGTCATCCAGTTTCCTGCCATGGATTGAACTCTTCAGGAATTATTCTGAGGGCCCAACAAGGACACACAGAGCAGAGACGGGAGGCAGATGAAGGAGGGGGAAAAAAAGCAGTAAACCTTGGCCGTGGTGAGGAAAAACCAGTTGAGTCTGAGAGCGGAGGCGAAAAGGCAACGACGAAAGGTGGAGCAGAGGAGGACTGGGAGAGACGTGTTCCTACCAGCAGAGCGAGAGGGGAAAAGAAGAAGAAGAAGAGAGGAGTGATAAAAGTAGGGAAAGGGGGGAGAAGAGTCGTCTGGATATGGGGCTTTGTGCTGTTCTCCTCATCTGTCTCTCCCAGGCTGAGCTGGGGAAAGTCTGGGCTCAAGAGCATAAAGGTAAGGGTTTTTTTTTACCTTTAACACACAAAAAATGGGAACTGCACCTTTTTACAAAACAGAAACACCCTGCAGAAATTCTGTTAAGATTTTTTTTAAATTGCACAATCTCTGCCAACAGGCATACCTAAGAACACTTTTTTTTAGTCACTTTTTGAGTTGGGATCGAAAATGAGTGTGTTTCTTTCTATGGATTTCTGCATGCATGCATGACGGGTCCCCTTTACAAACCTCTGTTCATCCAAAGTGCCTAAAAGTCTGTGTGCAGGTCTGGATCATGTTTGGAGGGTGCTAATATGATCAATCTGAAATTAGAAAAACACCTGGTGTTCAGGGAAATCCTGCGTTTGGGCAAATAAAGGTTTGAGGTCAACCGGTGATTCCAAGAATGGCTTAGTTTATTGGCACAGGTGTTTCCGAGCAGAAGAGTCAAGTTTTTTTTGCTTTTCTTAGTTTCTCAATTGAAAGTCTGTATAATCACCTGTTTTCATGCATTTTCAACATAGTTCATGCTGCTCTCGCATCCTGTTTCTGTATGTGTGTGTGTGTGTGTGTGTGTGTATGTGTGTATGGGTGTATGTATTTCTGTTCTCCTCAGAGATACATTATTTTTAGCCAGCCCCCGTTCTTCCACTGCTGCTCCTCCTCCAACAATCAGCGGTGCTCCAGTTTTCTCTGGCCTCTCCTGTGGTCCCACTTCCTCTGATCAGGGGCCCCGCTCTGCAGAGGACAACCCGCTGCAGAGATATAGATCCCTCCACACGTACTAATCGAAGTCCGGCAGTGTCCCCGGACCCGTGTCCGACAGCTCTGCCTCTGTCCTGCTCTCTGTTCGGGCTGTTTGCTTTCTCTCAGCCCGAGCCCTTCAGATTAGCGCATTTTGACTCGAAGAGAAAGTGGAACAGCTCCGACTGAGCTTGGTAATTAAGTGGAAGCGACCCCTTCACTCCCTCACGACCAACTGCACAATGTGCTAAATCTCTTTTACAGAGGCGGTTATACACTCCGGCAGGGTTACATAAAAAGTGGTTGCGAAGCTGTCCCCGTTTTCTTTTGAGGCCCGGGCTATCTGCACATCTGCAATTAATCAGCAGAACAAATTTCGGTGTCGAAGTTCAGCAAAGTTGAACTGTTAACAAAGTTCATAGCAGATTGAGCTCACCTGCATCTACTGCACAGCAGCTCAGAGAGACTTTGCCGTGCAATTAGCTTTCTGCTGATGTGAGCTAGCTCTCAAATGTACATGTGAAGAAGGATGTTGTTGTTTGCTGAAATTTCCCAGTAAAAGTCTTTTTGTTTTGCATCTCATGTGCAAAGACAGGTATGGAGTGGGTGCAGACAGCCAAATAAACATCTGTATTGCAGCGTGCCGCAGTCTAACAACGCACAACGCTACCATTTGCTAATCAGCACTAAACACAAAGAGCACACCAGCATGCCAGGAATGCCATCTGCTTTGCAGGTGTTGGGCCTTAAAGCAAAGTGTCTGACAGTCAAATGTTTGACTTGGTGTTGGGAGCTGCCAAACTTCATCATCATTTAAGACTCATCCTGTACATAAACCAGACTTCATGGAAATTTAGCAATTATTTCTTCAGATATTGCAGCCAGGGTCAATATGGGCTGGTAACTAAAGGAAAAATAGACATATCCACACACTTGTTGACTTTAATGCAGAGATTGATTCACTTTCTCATGTCCCGAGACATCCTTTTCGTTGTCCAACAATTTTCACCACACCCAAAGCATTTAATTATTCTTGCAGCCAAAACATCAGCAATAAAAATAAACTGCAACTGTTTCTTTTGTACAGACATGGAGCTTTGACCGCAGGTCTGGCCTGGCCAGCAAGTACACAGATTGTTTTATGCACACACACACACAAAAAAAAGATCAATTAAAGATTAAATAAATGGTGATAAAACTATCACCATAAATGTTTATAAAACATCCATCAAAATCATCACACTAAGTTGTTTAAATAGGTTGGCATGATTAGCATTCATATACCATTTTAAATGGAAAATTATTATAATTTCTGTTGGACTACATTAATCAGTGTTATTCAGTGAATATTTTTAATGGAAAAACACTCAAACTCAAACACTGTAGCTGGGTTTCCAATCACTGGCAAAACTTGAGAAATCCTTTGAAATTATGCCGAAGAAACGTTAAAGCTTCCTGCTTTCAAACCAGTGGGAACATAAGCTGGTTAGTTTTGAATAGGCCACAGTACCAACGGTTATTGCTAAGTCAGCAGAAGAAGCCATTTTCCTGATCAGAAACATACCTTGATATGCCATTTAGAAATTCAAACAACTGTGGGTGTCCACAGGAGAATAAATAGACAATGGCCTGTCCTGTGAGGTCAGACCTGGAAAAAACTGATGAATCCCGCATTTTTTTTCAGGTCAGAAGCGGTTTGCGAAAGTGTCCCCATTCTCACTGATGCATGCCAAGAATTTTTTTAAATATGGTGAGAAATAACAACCTCAAAGGAGTACAGGAGAAGAATGGACCAAAAAAATCTCTTCATGCCTGCCCAGAGAGCAAAAAAAAGGAGTGTGGCACCTTCCCACAGAGTAGTGCTGAGCTCTGCCTTCTATTTGATCTTCAAGATGTGCAAAGAGAATCTCTGGTTAATTGCTTTGTTGTTACAATTACTCCTCATTCATCCCTCTTTTGGCGTGCCACCCTGGTTGAATCAGACACGGCTGACTAAAGCTGAATACAGTCTTTGCGAACTGTAACAGCTATTCATGCGGTGCACCGCAAAATAAACAGCATTGTGTGGCTAAGATAAGCCCAGATAATAGGGAACAAGAATGCAGTAAAACACTGAAAGTGCTCCACATGTCAGAAATGTTCTACGCTGTGGGCACATGAGAATGGAAAACACTACATCCTTCTTTTCTGCATGAAATTCTCTGACGCTATTCTTTTTTTTTATTTTTTTTTTTTACTTGTGGGTGTATCAGTGAATAATGCAGGTTGTCAGGGATCCGGCAAACGTTTCTGATCTAAGTGTGAAAGTTATCCAGCCAAATTCAAGTTAATTTATGTCAGATGATGGAATATTGGATCATATTAACAACACAAAATCAATCTTAATCTTCCAGACTGCATGGATCATTGCAAAATAAGACCAAAGCTGCAAGGTACCAAATCCATCTCATCAAAACTTTTGAGGATAACAACCATGAGAGAATGTCTATTTTTGTAAATTACATTAGCCAGATAAATGTACATCAGTGCAATCCAATTCTACTAACAGAGAGCACATGAAAGTGAACTGCATGCACTGAAATATGTTTGGATAACCACAGTTAAATTGAAAATGTTTGAAGTGGGTACTCTGCAGTGAAATGGAAGTACTAAAACAAATTATCAACAAGAACTTCAGGGCATTTTTTGAGGAGGGTTCTCTCCCACATGTCTTGTTGCAATCATCTCTGATTATAAAAGCTAGAATTATTTAAAAAATAACTAAAAATCTGATAGTTAACTATTTCTGGCCCGGGCCCATCTGTGCAAACTGAGATCACATACCATAGTTACTGAGAATGAAACATGTGATCCAAAAAGTAAATGGAAAATAACTCTATGACAGTCTATCATTTAAATCAGCTTCTCCACTCACAGCCTGAACGATTTGCACATTTTTCCCTTTTCTTTTCGGTTCCTTATCACTCCAGCTGCCAGAGTTTGTGATTGTGTGTTGTGGTTACTGCTGTTCCTCAGGATGGGATGCCAAATGGCCTTCTCCCACACCAAAAAGCAGATCACCCGTTTAAAACCCAAACCTGAAACACTTACATGTCTGAGCTTACACAAGAAACACTGACCCTGCACTGAGAAACCCGCAGGTGCTTCACTAATCCCTGATTCCTGACAGCAACACTCATTTCCAACACTCCTCAAACAGACCTGCTGGTCGAAATTGAGACATTTTGAATCATGAGATAGAAAAATCTCTCCACTGGCCTTTTGTTCTCTCTAACGGGGCCTGCAAATAATTCCCACTTTCCCTCTCCAACTGAGTGCATGCCTCTGTGCCCCCGCTGTATCCTGTGCTCCGACTTCAATGTGTTGTGCATTTACCCGTAAAGAGATTATTTTCAGCGGAAATGTGCTTCTTTTTTTTTTTTTTCTTATTCATGGATCTCGACCAGTTGAACAGACTGAAAGATCATTGGGCTTTTGTCTCAGTCGGGAAAAGTGGCTCTGGTTTTGTTTAGTCCACCATGAACTCCTCTCTTACCTTAATGCCGCTTTTAAAAAATTAGCCCCCACTTTATTAGACGTCTGCCATTGCTGACGGCTGATTTGGGGAAGCATCAGAAAACCATAAGAAAAGAACACACAGCAACGTACCAGGAGGAAGGATGAATGAAATCTATATATTCCTCCACAGCACACCACGTGTGACTCAACGTGTTGTGTCCTAGTTTAAAGTGACTCCCAACACCCACTAGATTGCTGCAATGCAGACCCTTCTGAGGAGGCTGATAGAATGGACAACGCTGGCGTGCAGGTGATTTAAAATAACTGGTGTGTGTGTAATCACAACCTAGCATAAGCCTGCGGGATTAGAGGTTCGATTCCCACTCAGGTCAGCGACTCCTGGCACAGCGGGATGCGTCGGATCGTAGAGCAGGAAACATGCCATTGTGCAGACAAATAAATATAAACCAAACGCCACTGGTGGTTGTCAGTAAAGGCTCCGAATTTAGACGAATGTGAGCATCCTTTTCATGCATTTAATCTATTTGGAGAGGCATCGGTTTAGCGCGCTTTACGGTGAAAGCTGCCTTCTATTCACCGGCAGATTCGTCACATCTGTCACCAGAGCCAGTCCAGTTTTAGACCTTTTTTTTTTTTTTAAATACATCAGGATGTTTTTTCTTTTTTCTTTTTTTTTTTCTCCTTGCACCAGTTTGCACATTCCCCGTGCAGGGTCCACACGCACATGTGTCTGCCAGACCTGAAGCTACTGCAGTCGCTTTGAATCGAGTCATAGCTCTTTTACTCGAGCTGTTTTTGGATGCGTGTTGTCAGAAGTTCATCCAGGTCTACATGCAGACGGGCTGACGAGTTTGGGGACGTTTCAAGACAGAAAGTCACGTCAACGCTCAGAAAACTTTGGAAACCAAACTCTGAAAATGACCTATTAAACAGAACAGTTACAAGACATTTGATTCTGTTTTTTTTCCCCATGCTACCACAGACCTTTTTAAAGGATGTTACACCCACTCTATAAACACGGTATTGTCCCCTATCCACCACTTCCTTTGTTCCTCCTCCTCAAAGCTCTCCCCCGACACTACCTTGCTTGTTTGACTACGCTGAGTGTCAATCTGACCCAATAAGCAATGAAAATTGTTTCCAGTGCATCGTAATGATACAAGACTCCTCATTAGACCGATCTCCCCTGAGTGCGCGATGACCTCTCTCCATTTCATTCTCTTGTCCCATTTAGTCTCTTAAAGAGCCCATGTTCTGCTCATCAAAGAGTCTGAATTTTGTTTGGGTGTGTTGTGGGGGATTTTTAAAGGCCGGGATGCCTATTGAAAGGTTCTATTCTCATATCATAGATGTCTGAAAAGTTATGAGAAGGATAAGGAAAACCAAATAGCACAACACTGCAGTTTTATGACATTTTCTTGATTTGATTTCTCAGAGAACATTAAAATGTCACTTTACACAGTCCGTATGAGAGTAAGTTAAATAAAAACTCAGTCTGTGATCAATCTCGCCGTCTTTGTAACAGGAACCTGCATGTAAAACATTCCTATTTGAGATCATATTTAAAATGCATTTCAGCCCAAAATATCTGTTTTCCTTTCTTTATTGGATTTGTTAAAGTGAAAGGAAAGACGATTTTTCCATTTCGCTGTCAGCTCGGAAATGAAGAAATTTATCCTGAGAAGGGGTGTCAAACCACAGGTTAAACTCGCTGTGGTGATTATTTCTTTGGATAAAGGTGACAGAATCCAGCTTTAAGAGCCTGGCTGACCATCAACTTTAGAAGGCCTGAGACAAAAAGCAAAACTCTCCTGGTGTCAGATGAATGAAAAATTGTCATTCCTTTCTGAGATGCTTCATCCCCTGGATTAAGGAGGAGGGGGACCGTCCGACTTTGTATAGGTGCTCAGATCTGCACCCTGCATTTCTCATGGCATGTTAGTGAGTTACTGCCAATGGGAGGGAAATCTTTCACATCTGGAAAAGGTACATCAGTGTTGAAACGTATGTACAGACTTAAGAGCAACATCTGCTCCCATGCAGATGTGTTTCCAGGCGGGAAACAATGCTAAGTTGCATACGGCATCCATTTAAACAGCGTGTTCTCATAGTCCAGATGTTTCACCATTTGAAAACATTTAGAAAATCATAAAACTCACAAGAACATGAGCCATTCCTAATCTATGATGTTGATTTTAGTACAAATATTTGGCTCAAACAACCAATTTGTCCGTGTTAATGGATTCGTAATGAGAAAAAAGTGGAAGACTGATTAGAGCACGTCTGCACCTGAGCTCATCAGCCTGACCGACAGAGGTCCCTGGACCATCGCTGGACATCTGCCCCTGCAGGAGAGCAAATCAACGCTGAAGCCCAGACGTTGTGGACTCTGGGAGCAAACAGGGAAAAGCTTTTTACTCTGGTCCTATCTCATTACACACAGACGTTTTCATGGTGAGACCAGGAAGACCAAACCATTAGTGTGCCTGAAAGCAGCTGGACAGCTCCACGCAAACCTCATGAAGTGTGATGAAATGAGTCAGCGTAAGCACGCTTTTTGTTCTCGTCTTGTGAAGTCTGAACTCTGTGCTGGCACCCGCCGTTCGACCTCACAAGATGACCTCTCTCTTAACATCTCCATGAACAAACTGTTCTCCGACACAACATTAAACTGCATTTGATCTCTCAGCTTGAGAAACGAAAGCCCCGTTTAACAATCCATTCAACGTTCAGCTGGTGGTTTTGCAACTCGCTGGATGAGAACTGCTGATTCTGCGACTGCTGACCAAAGAAGTGGACAGTGAGTCATGGATCAGTTTAAAAGGAACATAAACATCCATCTCTGATCTGTTGAGCAGATGTCATGAAAACCGGTGTAGGCGGAAAACAGGAGATGGGGAAACGATGTAGGTGAGAAGCAGGCATATGAAACTAAAAAAAGATGCTGAGTGAGACTAAACATTGTACCACTTAAGGTTAAAAAGGGTTTCACCACTTAGTTTGGAACCAGCATCATTGTTATGAGAGGCAAAAATGGAAAAATGCTATTTTTGAAACACCATTCTTTGAAGATGTAAAGAAAATCCCCTCAAACCTGGTTCCTGGTGTTTGTTTTTGTAATATTTCTACATGTGGATCGAATTAAGCGTTCTGTTCACAATCCAAAGCATCGTAACTAATAAAGACCTGGGTGACCACAGGATGTAAAAAGGAATAATGTTTTCTTTTAGATGACAGTTGAACTCGGCGACTGCTTTTTTTTCCCATAAGCATCCGAAATAATGATTAGTAAAAGTCTGGAATTCTGAACTGGAGGCCGTAGCGGCCTGACTCATGGTGTGCTGGTGAGGAGCCATCTGTTTGTCCTTCCATTTGCTCTTCCTCCTCCAGGTCTCTGCTGCTGGATTCACTTTGGTGACCACAATGCCTGTTTTGTTTCCAGATGCACAAAGTGGGGCAGCTCTGCGGACGGATGGGGAACTGTCCAGTTTACACCGAACCAGGAGAGACCAGCAGACCCAACACAGACACAGAGAAGCCCGGAACCCACAGACTGAAAGGGGAGGAAACGGAGGAGTGGACATCGGCATCCTGCCTGAAAACATTACCCGTATTATAGTGAGACACCTCTTTCTGTTTGATGGTGGGACTCAGCTGGACTCACTGTAGATAAGACCTGGGGGTTGGTTTGTTTTAATAGGTTCTTTGGCACGCCATCATTTTTTTATTCTTCTTCGTCAACAGGTTGCAGCTCAGTTTGAAAGCACCAAACAAAAAGCTTTATGTTAGTGTTTTAGTGAATACTAAGATGTGGTATGATAACACATTACACAAGCAATGGTGCCTTAACTGATTGATGAAAATAGCCTTTCCTGAGTATGGAAGTACTTTTTTGTCACATTTTCATGCTAAAAAGGCTCAAAAAGCTCTTTGAGGACAGTTTTATTAAAGGTAGATGACTTCTGAGCAATCAGCCTCTGGGCAGTGAGCTCAAAGTCGATTGGGAGACTTCGAGTTTAACCAAATGTCGCCACAAATAAGTTCCCCCTCTTTTTTAATGATGTTCCAGGAGTTAGGGCATGTGGTTTCATTAATAGCCTCCGTTAAATACTCTTTGAACTGATCTGGGGTTGAAGATCCAACAAAACCACAGCAAAACTTCTCCTGACCACTAAAAGGATGAAAAGGACAAAGAAGGTGTGTGTCCCTGGTGACGGGCGGCTAGAGCCGGCTGACCACACCTTACATCCACCAAAACAGTTACTGGTTTTAGGAAAACAAAAATGCCCCAAATAGCCCCTCAAGCCGTGTCTTAGCTGCCTAAGTCTGTAAAACGAAGTCAAAACTGATCTAAATGGCCTTTTGTTTGAATCCAAGCTGTGCGCTGCCTGTCACTTTTTGCAATGATGCCTCGCTGAGAGCTCCAGCTTTGCTTTTCCGAACCAAAAACACTGGTGGTGCAGTCGAGCAGCTTCAATCCATCACTGTCCAGCGACAGTTTTCTGTTTTTGTGTGTGCGTGGTCAGGTTTTGTTTGGGTCTCATGGCCCCGACTCCTCTTTTACTTGAATCCGCCTCGGTTCCACTCAACCCAAACAAATTGTGTTTTTAGTTTTTTCTTTTATATTTCTTGCCTCTCTGTACATTTGAAATTGAAACCAGACGTAGTCCGCCACTTGCCAACCTGCTGTGTTTATTCAAGCACGGCCGTGCGCGAGCGTGTGCGTGCACGTTTATGCTATCGAGTGACTCACTCGGACGAGACTTCAAGTCTCCCTGCTGAACTTCTGCAGCCGTTACGTTTTTCAGGCAGAGGTATGACTTAGATTTCCAAGATCTCCACCTTCCATATATCAGTCAGCTGTGAGGGGAAAGGCGTACTTTCCTCACCTAGAACCCCCCACCCCCGAAGAGAAGAAAGGCGGGTGCTTGATAGGAAAGAAGTGGGTCACTTGCTGTATGTGGAGCAGCTGGAGAGGTTGTGAAGCGCTCTGCATTTAACTGCTCCACTTTCCGAGCTGAGACAAACCCCAGCACCATTGCTCTCCGTCACCTTGAGGTGCGCCTTGCATCAATAACGCCGTCAACAGTGAAGATCTGTCTGAATCCGGATTCCGTCGCCAAAGCTTTGGGCGTCAGATGTAAACAGCTCCCCCAAGTGGGAGCGCACAGGGTGAAAAAGCTGGAGTAAATCACTGTTTCTCCTTCTCTTATTCTTAAGAACAGATCATGAAAAGCGATATGAGAGGAAAGAATGGGACATAAAGGACTTTTTTATGATCAAGTGTTTTGAGCTTGACATCAGGGCAATCGATCAGCTCAGATCCACTCTGGTTCGTTCATTATATGACAAAAAAAAGGCTTCGGTTTGCACCGTGGGTCAGTTTCTCCAGACAAACAGCATCACAAATATTGAAAATACAGACATAACTGACCTTTTCATGTGTGATAAAAGCTCCTGTTGAATTTGATGGCTGCATAGACGCCCCATGATTACCACCATGTACCTCTTTTTCTCTTTCACACAGTCCGTAAACACTTTGAATTCTGATGGTTCCATTCCAGATGTCCAGGCTTGGGGCATAATGATATCAAATCATTGCCTTCTGTTTCTAATTTCACTCCAAATCTTCTTTTTCTAAACTGCAATCAGAATATTTTTTGTTAGCCTGCACACTTAATAATTATTCTATAGCAACCAATATCACTGATGGAGTATGGTCAGAAAAATCATCCAAACTCGACATTTAGAGTTCAAATGAAACATTTTACTGAAACCCAGTCGGATTTCTATGATTGATCATCATGAGAACAGGATTTCAAACCATTATTTTCACCATAACTCTAATAGTTTAGCAGAACGGGGAGCCACGGTCCTGCTAAATGACCCCTCCAAAGTAGATATTCTCTGGAAAGTTCCACCCCACCAACATGTGCTTGTCTGTGTTTAAGGAGGACTCCCAGAAGTACTACCGGTGGCAGAGCTTCGGGCCGACAGACCGACAGATCGACAGCCTGTGGATAGATCTGAACAGCCTGCACAAAAGTCAAGTCAGAATCCACGGCATCCTGTCCAACACACACCGGCAGGCGGCGGTGAGATGGAGGCACCGCAGATCTCCCATCTGCCCCGGCGATGGCTGACATTTGTGCTTTTCCACAGAGGGTGGCGCTGTCCTTTGACTTCCCTTTTTATGGGCACAACCTGAGACAGATCATCGTGGCGACGGGAGGTGAGCGGCAAATCAAGTTTGTCCACTTTTGTTGAGCTCCAATTCCAATTCATGATTCAGCATGAGAGCAGTTAAATCTAAAAATACTAAAAAAAGAAGCTATCACATGCTCTGTCCTTTTTTAAATTCCATTTATGACTTAATGGGTCATGTGATTTGTATCTAAGGTTGGGGTTGGGTGGGTGGGTATTGATAACTGACTTTGTTACGCTCTTGTTTCCCATCTTGGGAATTTGTTCTTCAATAAAAAACTGTGAATCACAAAAAAAGAAGCAATTTGATTGATGTTTTCTGTGTTTAATCAGTCTGTTCTCACCATCTGTGTCCGCAGGGTTCATTTTCATGGGGGAGGTCACTCACCGAATGCTGACCGCCACGCAGTACATCGCCCCCCTCATGGCCAACTTTGATCCCAGCTTCTCCACGAACTCTACTGTGAGGTATTCGGACAACGGTAGGCGGGCGATGCTCGGCGTGGCCGCAACGTCCAGGGAGTCCCGGGAAGCCCTCTCGGTCACCAGTCTCCATGCCCTCCCCCCTCAGGTAACCTGTTTGTGGTGCAGTGGGACAAGGTGCGGCTAAAGGATCGAGAGGGCGAGGGGGCGTTCACCTTCCAGGCCGCCCTCCACAGCAACGGCAGCATCGTCTTCAACTACAGAGACGTGAGTCCCTCCGCTTTGATTCTGCGGCCGTCGCCGAGTCGCGTTAAGCCTCACCAAGGCGAGCTCTAATGTGCTTTAAGGTCCCGGTTCCGGTGGAGAAAATCAACTCCACTGAGCATCCAGTGAAAGTGGGGCTGTCTGATGCCTTCATGGCCTTCCTGCCCGCTTCACAGCTCTCAGGTCAGCTCAACAAAAACAGACCCACCAAATAAATTATTACATTTGTAATTCTTTGAATATATAGAACCCACTCCCTCTAAGAAAGAAACTTCCTCATGTTCCTTATGTCTTGAAGACTCGAGACAGCGGACCATCTACGAGTACCATCGCGTTGAGATCGATACCACAAAGATCGTGAGTGGGTCTGCCTTTGAGTTTACGCCTCTGCCCAGTGAGTATTGGTCACATCAGCGTGGCGGCCAAGCTCCGTCGTCCACCTCTTTGACGGCAGAATGTTTTGCCCCCAGCTTGTCTCCAGCACACCTCCTGTGACGTCTGCCTGACCTCCAACTTGACCACCAACTGCGGCTGGTGCAACACCATCCAGCGGTAAAGCCGAGCTCCATCTGCGTGGTTCTTCCAGCCCACGAAGAATGCGGCTGCTCTCATTTTGTTTCTTTCTGAATTTCCAGTTGCTCCGACGGCATCGATCGGCACAGGCAGGAGTGGCTGGACTACAACTGCCCCGAGGAGGTGAGCCGGACGCAACAGATGGCCGACCGGAGACGGGCAGCTGTCTCACGGTTCCGTTTGCTCCCGTGTGTTTCCACGCAGGCGAAAGGCACGTGTGAGGACTACAGCCCGGTGCTGCCCGAGGTTTCTATGAGCTCCTTCAACCACTCAGCACCGGGACCAACTCCTTTAGCAGAGACGGACGACCAACCCGTCACCAGGGGTGAGTTTAGAGCACATGGCTTGGATCAAATGTCCCATTAGTTTTTTGGCGGGGTTATAACGTGTAAACCCACGATTCAGAAAAAGTTTTGGGAAGTAGGCAACTCAAAACAGGATACAATGATCTTAACAGAGAACAACTTAATGAATAATATAGTTCCGAAAAGTGGTTTAACCCAGCATATGAGATCCTGCTTCATGGAACTAAACTGTTAGCTTGGAGCTGAATATAGCATTTGTTTATCTGTCAGTTGAGCTCAACATCATCTTTTACCTGGTTCATAAAAACTGAAAACATGTCGTTATCGAACAAGAATGATTAAAAGACACACGTGTCTCATGCACTAAACTAAATTTCGTGGGAAATCACAAGTAGTTAAAAAGCTTCCAAACACAACCCGCCAAATAAAGTCAGCTCCTCCAGATGTTTGAACTCACAGAGCAGGTTTAAAAGCAACGTTAGTGTCAGTTTTTCTTACTTTCAGACGCGCAGGTGGATCTTCCGAACCATAAGGGGATCACGGAGAACACGGCCATCATAGCCGGCGTGGTGGCGGCGCTGGTTCTGCTGGTAGCTTTGACCTTACTGGCCGTTTACTACATCAACACACACCCCACGGTCGCTCCACCATTCTACCTCATGCAGGTCGAGAAAATAAGAAAAACCCACATCAAGCTGTTGTATCTCCATTCATTCCGTGGGGCTGAAACACAAGCTGAATACGTGTTGTTGTTGTTTTTTTATAGAGACGCACAAACAACTACTGGCCCTCCATGAAGTTCCGCAACCAGGGCTGCCACTCCAGCTACGCTGAGGTGGAGCTCGGGGGTCACGAGAAGGAAGGCTTCATCGAAGCCGAGCAGTGCTGCTGAGGGTCTCAGGCCGAGAAGAAGAAAGCGCACCACCTTGAGGAATGCAATGGTCCCAGAAGAAGACACACACGGATGTGAACGCCGCCCACTGACACAAGACGTCCTTTTTCCAACCTCAGTGGCCGGACAGTTTTTTACTGTAACCGCTCCTGTAGCTCTTCCCAGCTTTTTCTCTGTGTCCTTTGCTGTTTGCCATCACACAGGGGGCTTTACCAGATCACCCAAAGCTCGGAGGGTCTAAGAGGAGCTGGACTGAACAGAAATGAGATGTGAATGAGCAACGAGTGTCCCAAACCTATCAATGCAAGGGGCTGTCAGGGAACGAAATCGAACAAGCCTTCATACTGCAAACAACTTTCTGTTTTCATTCATTTCACGGAGTTATTTTTGTTTCATGAAACCTCTGCTAAAACGTCGATGGGTTCATAAAATGTTATGTGAACTTCTCTACAACAGATATCTAGCTATATAACTGATAGTGAATATAATGATCATGTTGGACTTCTCTGGAGAATTATCGTATGGATGAATTTTAGAGCAATCAAGTTATGAAAGTTTCTGAATCTTTCTGTTTAAATGTCTTCTAATAAAAACTGGTGGTCAGTATGGGCGTGTATCTCATTTTTGGTAATAAATTAATTCATTTAAGTGCCAACACTTAAAACAATATTATATTATATTATATTATATTATATTATATTATATTATATTATATTATATTATATTATATTATATTATATTATATTATATTATATTATATCATATTACCGCGACCCCAACAGGGAATAAGCGGTATTGATAATGGATGGATGGATGGATATATCATATTATATCATATTCTATCATATTAGGTTAGATTAGATTAGATTAGATTCCCTCATTTATTTTTTTCTTTTTAACATTTAAACTGGAATACTGATCACTGCTATGTAGATTAGAAAAGGTGAAATTAAACATTTTTGTAATGATGTTTATTCTTCTAAAGTTGGTATGACTAATCACTCATACTGTAAAATTTAATGCAAGTAAATTTCAATATATAGTAAGTTTATTCTACTCTTATTTGAGCAGAATAGTCAAGTTAAACCTGAACATTTTTACTCTTTTAACTAAACGTGTGGCAGAAAGGCTGAATATTACACTGACCACACGAGGTCGCTATACCACCAGTATTGACGTCAGATTCGACCACAGATTAATATATGTCTTACACGTATTTATTTATCAAGGTTTATGCCAGACATGAAAACTACAAAGGGAAAATATAGACTACTTTTTTTATGTATTTGTTATTAACAATTAGAATATTTGTTTAACTAATACACGTTCATCACTGGCAGCGTGTATTTGAGTTTATCGTTGAGTGGCGTAAATGTTAATAGATAAAAAAGGTAACCAGTGTGATCTTCTTCTGGTCGTCATAAAAAACGCACTTGGAGAATCAGAAAAAAAAGATGAAAAAAAGAGGGGGCACCCGGATTTGAACCGGGGACCTCTTGATCTGCAGTCAAATGCTCTACCACTGAGCTATACCCCCGTGCTGAAACCGAGGGGCGATATCTTTAATATTACCTTTCTTCAGATGACGTTGATTCATTGGTCATTTCCAGGGTTTCAGTGTTTCTATGTAGTTGACTGCAAACGAACTTTGCTTAAAAGCGATTGAAATGTCGTTCCTCAAACAGAGCATACCAAAGTCCTGGCTATGGGACAGCGTGTAGTTTTCCTTTTTATAATGACAGTTTGTCTGTGTTAATTCTGCACACAGAATTTGGCCCCTAATGTTTTCAAGCATTATAAGAGCACGTTGTTTTGTTAATAAATTCATACTCCTTTTACGGTTAGTTTCATCAGGCTGTCTTCAGGTGCTTCTCAAATAAACCGCAAAAATGGACATCTGTTCATGTTTCTAAATAACAAACTGGAATAAAGAATGAAAACTACCTTTGTGATGGTGAAATCAACCATCTTAAAAATCCCCAAACCACATGGAGAATATAACTGTTTTAACATATTTCTGGTAATTTGTCATCTGAGTAAAAAACGAGCAGAGAAATCTTTAAAATTGTAATTCATAATTTCGACAGACAGTGAATGCACCATGAAGACATAACTCCTCCTCGCTTTTAAGCAGCGTCCGTTTCTGAACTGAGATGTGAAGAGGTGACCAGGGAGACGATTCCTTTCGTATTTAACTTTAGATAACTTTTTATTAGATAAGTTAGTTGTTTTTCCTTTGTTGTATGTTTTTTTTTTTTTTTACTTTTTGGCGTGAAAAGGATCTGAGCCATTATGAATCCGCCCTGTGGGAGATGCAGTAAACCAGTTTACCCCACAGAGAAAATTAACTGCCTTGATAAGGTAAGATGTAGACACATTTATTCTGTGGTATGTAAATTTTACTCCACTTTAACCCTTGAAATTGACTACAGAGGATTTTTCCTGTTAGTCTGAGTGTAAGATTGAAAATGACACTACTTGAAAGAAAGAGAAACAGCGTGGTGTTCACAAACTGGACAAGTGGAGGACAAAAGAGGAAGAAAAGTGGCTTCCATGGACGGGGAGCTGTCATGAAGCCATTCTGAAGGAAGAGAAGCAGGGAGAAAGGATGATTTCTGCCAGAGGAACCAGAAGTGGACTGAAAACCAGCAGATGGAGGGATGGATCCTCTAGAGCTCCACATTATCGTCTTTCAAGAAGACTCCTTACAGAATGGACACACAGCTGGATGGAGAGAGTTCAGAGACGGAGAACAAATGAGCTCAGAGCAACTTGTTCAAATGCTGTTTGCGCTTTATTTACCTTTATTTATACAGCGTTTCCATTTTATGTTTGAACCAAATGCTGCACCTCTCGTGCTTTTTCACTGTAACCTAACTGTTTTTTCCTTTCCAGTATTGGCACAAAGGCTGCTTCAGCTGTGAGGTGTGCAAGATGGCCCTGAGCATGACCAACTACAAAGGCTTTGAGAAGAAACCCTACTGCAGCATGTGAGTATTCACACCACCCGCCCTTCTGATGGAGAGAATCAGTGAACGCGGGAAGCTGTTTGTCGTTATTGGAAACTTCTTGTGAGGAGGTAACAGAGGGTACTGCCTCATCCCAACTGTTTGGAGGGTTTGGAGTTGAGAAGCGAGGAGGTGGACCAAAATGGAGGATGGGGGATGCTGCAGAGACTGGATGTAAAAGAACAAGCAGACAAACAAAACCAAAGAAGAAACAGGAGACCAGCTGGGATGCGTCAGATTCCAACAGGACTACACAATAACTCAGAAAAAGTGAGGTGACCAGGGACGTATAAATCCTGGGAGGGTTGCTGAGTGGAGTGAGTAATCACCGGGAGACAGGTGTGAATTGAGAGCAAAGGACAGGACTAAGATGGAACCGACAAGAATAGAGTAACTAAAAAAACAAGGACGGAGCCGGCATGAAACTTAAACTCAGCTAAAGCACGAGCACAAATGCCAACACAAATAGAATATAAAGGCAGCGGACGGAGAACAGCAAGAATCCAGAGTCCCACTCTCAGGAAACAGAGTTTCCACAAACACACAAAGACTCTGTCGGTCCAAAGTCAGGAGCTGGAGCCCGTCTGAGCCCCTGCAGCTGTTCCAGCACCAGATCACTTCAGATCATGCTGATTAGCTTGAAATGCCGACTACTAAATTATAATTATTATGAATATTACCCTAACATGATAATACAAAGAATGCACACATCAGAATGGAAAAGTAATAAAGAAAAGGGAATTTATTTGTACATTCTTTATGGGAATAGAAGTATTCTGCATTTTGATTTCTGTCTTTTGTGTTTTGTGAATGTTTGGAGCTAATTCAAACCCAGAACAGGTAAAAAAAATGTGGGAAAAGTTATAGAAATGAACTGCTTCACCGAAGTTCAATAAGTTCTGACATAATCTTCAAGTTATCCCCATATAGTGGTTTATCTTTAGGTAAATGCATCAGAATAAGATAATTTATTATCTAATGGGACTCTCCCTCCTCTTTTTTTCATTTCAGGCATTACCCCAAAACCTCCTTCACCATCGTGACCGACACCCCCGAGAATCTCCGCCTGAAACAGCAGACCATGCTCAACAGCCAGGTGAGGGCGGCCATCTTTGCTCACTGGCAGAGGTTTGTTTCCTAATCTCCCCGAGTCCACTGAGTATCTGTCACTCTGTTGGTTGAGGAGGATGCACCTCTGAGCTGGAAAAAATGAACCTGCTGAGAAAATCCTGTAAATAAGTGAGCGGTGACTTGAAAAAAATCAACAAATCTGAGCTAAATTAAATCTTTCTTCCTTCTTGTTTTCCAAGCATTTTTTTTTGGACAGATTTAAAAGGACACTGAGCTGCTTTCTTCATTGTTCCCCATCCTTCAGTGTTTTTAAGCGCTAATCGAATCACACCGTCCCTGCCAGCAGTTTAACCTGATCAAAGGGATGATTCCTCCAGGTCACGCCAAATTAAAGAGTTTCCTTTGTGGTTTAACTCTAAGGACTGTGCTGTCACTCCCTCACTGTCCAGGGCTGATTTTTTTTCCCTCCTTTGAGAGGCAGAACAGAAAAATGGCTTTTAAAAGCTGCGTTTTTCCAGGATTTCACTGCACAGAGGACAAAAAAATCTTCCTCTCTCTGTTCACCAGATTGCACGCCATCTTTTAAAGGTTTTTTAATATGAGGCTTTGAGAAGTTTTTCAGACGTAAACGGTCATTTGCACTGTACAGTGACTATAATCAGGCTTACTATCGAGCGAGATGACCTTCTATTCAACCACCCCCACTCTGTCAGAAAGACGAATTACTGCTCTGTTTTTGCTAAAAAAAAAAACCCTCTGAAGACAGAAGTCTCTACTAAAACTGTTCATGCTGACCCCCGTGGATTATTCAGAGATGTTTGCTGTAAAGATTCTGAAAAGTTACTGGCAATTTTTGTTTGTGTGATTGTTTGTATGATGTTGAAACAACAAAAAATAGCCCAGATGTGGCTCTATTTCTGGTTCAAATGACAAATAATCATGTGGCATCAGTTTTTATTTTTGCCACATGACCGCCATGATTAGATTTATTCAGAGAGCCGCTTCCTTCCCTCTCAAACTGTCCTCTTCTCCCGTCTCATCCACCCGACCCAGCTCTTTGTTTATAACCATAAAAGTCCCGGCAGCTCGCTCCCTCGCTGGGGCAGCATTTTCCTCATAGCAAGAATGTGACTCATTTCTTTGAATGTGTGTGTTCGTGTGTGTTGGTCTGTGTCTGCCGGAATCTTAGATTTACGTTCAAATAAACATTTGGGTTTTATTTAATGCAGCCAGTGATTGCCTGGAGGCCCAAAACATGTCGCACACTGTGACAAAAAGCTGCTTAAACTACATTGTGACTGGGTTCCTGTCTCACACCCAGTGTGAAATATATATATTTTATAATCCTCATTTTCAGAGTCGAGTGAAAAGAAAAACATTCAAACACATTCAAGTCTTATACTAGGAGCCTTTTTCTACTATTTCTAGCATTTGTTTGTGCCAATTGAACCAAAAATAACATTAAAAAAACAGAGTCAGCATCAGATCCCAACAGAATTATCTAAAAGATAAAAGATAATCCCACTATTTGGGATTTGTGGATAAGAGAATATTAGAATAGGATTAATCCACTATTCATCATTTTTGCTGAGAAGGGAACACATAACTTCATTTCTTGTTCAGAAACAGGGGCATTTTGGGTGGAAAAAGCTAAAAAAAAAAAAGGGGAGCTACAATCCTTCCACTCAAATCACTGCAAGTAAATACTTTTTTTTTTAAGTCCAACTGTTCCTTTAGAATGATTCTGGTTCTTACAGGCCCTTTACAAGGAGGATTTTGAGAAGAGCAAGGGGAAGGGTTTCAGCGTGGTGGCCGACACCCCCGAGATGCAGAGACTGAAGAAGACCCAAGACCAGATCAGTAACGTGAGTACAGTCGGGTCCCGGTGGAGGTTCCAGACTTCACGGTGTGCTCCACACCAGCACCAGGTCTGCCCGCGTCCCCCCAGGCCTCCAGTGATAACATAAAAGCTTCGAGACGAGGCCTAAGCAGGGACCAAAGCTCCAAGAGGATGTCAGAGTGCGATCCCGCAGACACACACAGCCACATTTCTGACATTTCTTCCCATCCGCTGAGCAGCAGCTGCCCTATATGGTCAAAACTTCTAGCTGTGGACACAAACCAATTGGCCGTCCACACACACACACACACACACACACACAC